TGTAATTTCATTCAGCACATTAGGTTCTGCACTCTCCACAAGGGTCAGGAGCACAGCTGGGAGTAAGAAGGCCGAGCCAAACGCGCAAAATCCGCGCTTCGAGTGCATCCTCAAATCTGAGCAAGCTCGTGCACTTCAGCCGTCTTCCTCACACACACACACACACACGGATGGTCATTTTAAACGGCTTTCATTTCGCATTAAAGCTCTTTGCGTTAACCGAGGACGCAGACTGAGTGAAGCCATGGCGCACGATGCGGCGCTCTTACGCCCAAACTTTCCAGCTTTCATCAGCGCGAGCCATCCCGCGGAACCCGAGCCGGAGCCGGAGCCGGAGCCAGAGCCGGAGCAGCGGGAGTCCTGACTCAAGGCCTGGGGCACAGGTTGCCAGATTGGATCCACAAAATTTGCAACCCAGTAGCGGCTTCAAACCCGCCCAGATTCACTCTGAACCATCCCTATCTGCAACTTTGCCAAATTTCAGTTACAATCCCAAGGAGATTTTTGTCCCAGCCCTGTCAGGGTTGCCAGATTGGCTCGACTTAAAATGCATAAAATGCATTCACTCTCAAGCATGCTGGGACTGCGCGGTATGACCAACAATTTATATCACGGTATAGTTTCACAGGTTTACGGTATCGGTATATATTTCAGTATAATGTGATGTCCATTGTTTTTTTTTTTTTTTTTTTTTAATTATTGAGGTTAAATATTTTTTATTGTACCAAACAAACACTGCACTGTAGACGATTAATAGTTCATTATCTTGGAAGAGAAAAAAAAACATTTAATAAACAATAAAGTAAATACAACTGAACAAGAGCTATATAGAAGGAATTAAATAGCTAAACAAATAAATTATGTAAATAAAATTATTATTAAATTTAAAAAATGTATTAAAAATTAAGGTAAAGAAAAATAACTATTACAAAGGAATTGTTCACAACAAAGTTGTATGTAAATGATATACACAAAATAAATATGATAATAAAAAAAATTGCAAAAATTGCAATGCACTTCAACCCGTTAAAAATTCCTTGCTTCCTTTTTTTTTTTTTTTTTTTTGAGCAAACCTTAGCTAACATATTTCTGACATGACTGGGAGAAATTAACTAGTTATATATAAGTTTTTGGCTTAAAAATAGACCTGCATCACATTTCATTGGAGCTAACGCTGGTGATGTGCCAAAATATTTCCTTATAGCACCTGAAAAATGACTATTTATTAATGACGACTTAGACCATTAGTTACTTAGCATTGTGAAAGATTTGAACTCAGGAAAATTATTCGTCTGACTGTAGGTGATTTGACATTTTGATGACCTAGATAGATAGATAGATAGATAGATAGATAGATAGAAGCTTTATTGTCATTGAACAGCAGTACAATGAAATTGAAGTGCCACATCTGATCAGTGCAGAGAGACTAAACCAAGCACACCAATAAAACAATAAAAACAATAAATAATGTTAATAATAATAATTTTAAAATAGTCACATTGTATGTTAAAAATTGTGTATTGCACATTAAAATGTAATTTCACATTAAAAGCAAGATGGGAGCTGTTTTGTCTTATCCCCATTCAGAGTCCTTACAGCCCATGGATAAAAGCTGTTTTTTAGTCTATTTGTCTTGCTTTTAAAACTCCTGTAGCGCCTCCCAGAGGACAGGAGGCTGAACAGTTC